AGAGGACAATATTATCAAAACTTTGATAGGCAAACGAATCGCGGTGTCGTTTTTGATTCGCTTCGATCGACGAAATACGAGACACGTCTTTAGCGCGATATCTGTTGAAAGATGCACTTTGAGCAACAGTTTACGAATAATCAAAAAAAGAAAAAGAAAATCAATTGAAAAGCTTTGTTCTGCTTCGATCCAGAGGATTGCGTCACGTTGCGCCTGTAAATTGCACGTGTAGACACATACACACACGTCCTTAAATGTATCGTCAAACATCACGCGCAACTGCTCGTCCGTACGCTAATGTTTTTAAAAGTTACGTGTATATGCGTGCATGCGCTCACCCTCACTTCACACACACACATTACTCTCGACAGCTGAAACACGAGTCAATCGCATTACTTGATTCTCGTGAGAAAGACGATTTTCGTTCGGCTGCATGTTTATCGGATGCGCGCGACGCAAGCTCACGACTTTTGGGAGCTAAAGTTTTTGCGATCGCAAAGCCGTAGCTCGCTGCGATCGTTGTTATTGCAGTACTCCCCCCGAGCGCGCGCCGCCGCACAACTGCGACAGATAAGAGCGTTTTAAAGGGTTGAGGCTGCTGCTTCCAGCTCGCCACGCCCGTTAATTGTCATTTCGGCGAGGCGCGCGCGCGCGCGAGCAAATTGTTTCAATTCCTTGTTTCGCTGTTTATCTTGGACCGAAATCTCCTCGAGACTCTCCCATCCATCCGATTATGCTAAAACGCTCGCGAGCTCTTTCAACGTAATCCCATAGCTCATTAAAAAAAGAAACGGCCACACACGCGTTCGGCTCGCTCTCTTCAACACTTGTAGTCCGCCGGCGAATAAAAAAAACGCAGCACATCTTCTCGCCAGACGTCGACGCCGCCGTCGTCGCTATTATATGTATATATATCTGCTGCTCTAACGACCGTCCGGTCCATACATACTTCTGAGATAAAAAATTAGCGCGGCCTTAAATCATATATTTATCGCGACATTAATTCAACCCTCTTTTTGACTCTCCCTCTGCTAATTTCTCAGATTCGAGAGTATTTTTCGAGGCCTCCTCTCGTTCATTATTTAGCGCGCGACGTACAGAGAGTGCCCGAGCCAACCCTTTTTCCCGTATACCCGCATTATCTGCGCGCCTTATACTTTTAACCTTTTTCCTCGTCGTCCCTTGCTTTCTCTCACTCTCATTTTCTCTCTTTCTCTCTCTCTCTCCGGCTCTCTTACGTATATCATATAATACGTGAGTTGTACACACTTAATCTCTCTCTCTCTCCGTTAGGTATATACGATTTATCTCGTTTGTGCCGGAGCCACACGTATCGGCGTGTCTTGGACGACGACGACTGCTTCGCACTCAGTAAATTAGCCCCATGGGTCGGAGTTTGCTCGCTCTCGCTATACACTTGCTTGATATGTCGACGCGGCCTTTCTCGCTTTTATATGTGTGCTAAGGGCCGAAGCGACGCTTGCGGTTTTGTACTTTTCCGAGCTAAAAAGCACGCGCATCCTCGGAGCTCGGGACTTTTTGCTCTCTCTCTCTCTCTCTCTCTCTCCCTCTCGCGTAATCGCGAAATTAGTCTAAATTTTTTAAATTGAAAATCGACCCATGTGAACTTTTTGGCCAACGCTGGGGCTAGCCCACAGGTGACGAAAGAAAAAAGGTCGCAGCTCGTGCCCTACTGCTGCGGCCAATCTCATAGCCCAGCAGGGGGGATGCGATCCTTCTGTATAGCTACGTGCGCACACCTTTTTCCTTTCAGCGTCGGGACTAATTGTGACGTCTTGCGCGCCCAGAGGCTCTTGATACACACGCGGTTAAACGCATTCGACTCCAGGGGACGATGCGATTAGAGGAGCAGCTCTCTCGAAAGCGAAAGTAGGCGTGAAAAATTTGTGAGGAAACGTTGTTTTTCTTTCCCACCATAGTGGCGTTTTGGCGCGGTCGCTGACTTTTGTCGTCGACTTGTCTCAATATTCACACCTCTCCTAATAGATGCCTCTCGCGTGCGCCCAGCGTGACTCGGCTCTTTCACAGCTGCGCGGCACATTCCTACACACACACACGCATGTAATGTATCATGATACGTAATAACACGTCCATATAATAAGAGGTCCGGTCGCCAAACCAGCGAACCCATTCGACGTCTCGAAGAGAAACAAAATAAACAAGCAACAAATTCTGCTCCAACGTTTCTCCTCTCTTTTCTTTCAACAAAAATAAGACTAGCCAACAAAGAAACAAAAATAAAAATGATAGAATATCGCTCTCGCGTCAAAATTCGTACATCGCAACATAATACAGGGAAGCGGTGGCGGCCCCGTTGTTTGTTTAATAAACATCGTACATTTAATAGATGGGACGGGTCTCTCGATTGTCACGGGATCTTTCGAGTTTTTTCATCGAGACTCGCTCGCACACATAACAGGCTTGTTTGTTGCGGCCGTGTATCAAGTTTATTTTTCTTAGGCGTGGTTAAATACAAGTCTGTATACTGCCGTTGTATTAGAAATGCGCCAAGGGCTTTTATAACTCTGCCGTGGGCTCGTTGTTGTGTTGTGCGTTCTTGATTCTCAAAATGAATTTCGGCAATATCGATCCTTGTTTTTCTTTCCTACGGGCTAGACCGCAGACTCGTTTTCTATCGATTTTTGAGAGGGGCCCCCCCACTGAAATTAGAAAATAACAAAAATAATTGTTAGATTTAGGGCTAACATGCACAAACGTGTGTGTGTGTGCGCGAAGAGCGAGATGACGCATATTGATGGCAGGCCTACAGAGCCGCTATAAATATGCTTATACGTATGCGTGTGCCTCGCGCGCATTCGAATGTTCCGCGAAACTCAGCCGCATGGGCTTTTTTGCTCTTTTAACAAACACACGGAGTAAAAGGAGCAGCGAGTCGAGCTGCTGCTGCTGCTGCTCCCACTCGGACCTGCTCAGTTTCAAATGGCCAAGTGTCAAGTGTGACTTTTATTCGCTAAGGCCATCGCTAGAATTTCCTCTTACCCCGGAAGATGCACCATTGCACGCATACAAAATCGTAAGAATTACGGGAATTCAGTTACGGGCATCCGAGGGAAAAAATTAGACACCGTTGTTGCTCTTGCTTAGATGCATTCGTGGTCGCAAGTCGACGGAGCAAAAAATGCGAGACGCGGGTGGCGGAGAAAAAGTATAAAAAATCCCTCGAACTCGGGGCGCGCGAGAGGAGCCGGGTTCACCGAGCCTTTCATTATATAGGCGCACAATGGCTAATCCCTCGAGCGCGAAAAAGAAAAACAATCGGTGCTAAAAATCTAAAGATCGCAAGAGTCGGGTAATGCGCGCGTCGCTTGGCATGAAAAGCGTGCTGCTGCTGCGTTTGTAATGCGCGCACTGTGCTCGCAAGCGGCTTACTGTGTATATAAACTCGTATATATACACACACGCGCGATTGAATGGAAAAAAAGGAAGAGAGAGAGAGAGAGAGAGAGAAGATAGAGGAGCCGAGCGCAGTATATGCGAGTACAGTGCGCGAACTGCGCTGCGGAGAGAGGGGGGCACCGAACGTGTATACGCGCGCGGACGAGCTAAATGCAAGCCTCTTGGCGGCCCCTGTTATATATATACCTCCGCGTATGTATTTATTTATATTTACACAATAAGCAACAGCCCCACCGCCGACTTTTCTCTCTCTCTCTCTCTTTCGCTCCAGGCATACTGGCGCGTATACACGAAAGAGAGCCACAGCAGAGACTCGTGAAACACTTCTGTTCGAATGCCCGATGTATATAGGCGCTCAGGCGCGCGCTTCATGCGTAATATTATAACTAAGCTCTTTTAGTCCTCGACACTCCGCCGCAGCGGACACGTTCGCGATACATGTAACTTTGTGTCGCCGAATCACTCGGTGTCTCAATTATAGTATCGTGCGCGAGATCTATGCCAATTTCTTTTTTCAACCTCGAGTTTCGTGCAAGAAGAGCCTGTGCTTTCGTTTGGCGCCTGTGACAACAACGACAAGAAAAAAATCAAAGATTCCCAGTGAAAGTGACGTTTTAAGAGTTTCTGTGTTTTGTTGTTCGTCGAGCCATTATACAAGGAAGCGATAATTCTACAGCGCGCATGGCGAAAACCGAGTTCGAGCAGATTCAGGTCGGTGTCTCTTTGCAGCCCAAATACTCGTTTCTAAATGGTAACGTGTGCGAGATTTAAACCTGCTAATTATTGCGAGCATCCGCGCTGACATTGCTCCGAAATCGCATGAATTGACCGCTGCCTTCGTTAAAAAGCCTGACGAACCACTCTGATTTACGCCATGAAAATTATTTATTCGATATTTCTTTACGTTTATAAATTTTAAAATTCGTCCTTATGCATCTTTACGAGTTTAATGTACCGCAAATTAACTAATTACAATAAATTATGTAAATTATATTTATGTGTGTGATATAATTATATGAGATTACACGTGTTTAAATGTACCGCAGGTGGAAAAGCACTACAAGCGTACGCTTCTTGCATGGTATTATCAGTTTTATCTAGCAGTACACATTGTCAGATCCAACGCGCGTCTAATTATTTCGGCTTTTATCAAGTTTTATTATATATTATATATTATATATTAATACAAGTTCGCACGTCGTACTCGAGTCATGCTCTAAAAATTATTTTTTGCTAGTAAAAAGAAGATATGAATAAAATTTTCTAAAAAACTCTTGTTTACTCATATTAATTGTTTCTTGTTGTTTCAACATCGTTAAAACAACACAGTTTCCTGACGACGATAGCTTATTTGACTTTCGTGTATAGTTGGGCAAAGTGACTCATAGATATATTCCACGAATAGAGTCACCATAGGCAGTAGTGTACACATCTATTTTCTAATGAGTCAAAATTATATTTCTTTTCCCTTCTTATCCGAGTCCAACGGGTACTTTGGAGAGGCAAAGTCGACATTTTTGGCGCAACATTTAAAAAATTCACAAATGTCTCGTGTCTTGCAGGACGATGGCATAATGGATCATGACACGGACGGAGATGGTGCGATCAACTTGTCAACGTCCCAAAGACCCTCGGCCTCGACCACCCCAAACGGCGATATCACGAGCTTCGGCCAAAATCAAGTGGATAACGATCAGGTACTTTGGCAAATCATGATCTCTGCATTTATCAATTAAATGTTTTTATCGCTCGGGCGAAAACGAGTCGGAGACGAGAGCTCAAGCTCGCGAGTGAAAAAGTCGCGCGACATTTAAATTCGTAGCCATAGTATAAACCTACATTTTTCAATTCGGCTCCGGGAAAAGCGAGGTGAAAAAGGGTCATTGTGCAGTGCGTCGTAAAAGGTGGGCTCGTCGCGCATTATACTGCGGGGCTGGCGCGCGCGTGTCTCGAAATCACGTCATATGGGCCGAAAATAAAGGATGTGTCGCGGGGCAATATTACCGCAAGGTGTGCTGCTGCTGGCGGCACGAGCGAGGCAGGAAAAAAGCTCGTCGTCGTCGTCGTCGTCGCGGTCGCACTTTAAAGGGTCCATAAAACATTTGTTTCCCCCGGCGCAGGGAATTTCGAATTGAATTCGAAATCGTGCGCGCGCATTTTTACGCGCACCGTATACGTACGGCTACATATAGTGGAAAAAAAGTCGGTATAGCTGCGGCGCCGCGGCTCGTATATGGGGTGCGAAAAATACCATTATCGATGTGTATAGGCTAGGCGCGAAATAAGGTATAAATATTTATGTTGCTCGAGCGATTCGGGATTTTTCTCAAAAAAGTGCTACGCGCGAGAAATAAGGCGCGCGCGCGCGTCTATATGGATTTTAATCTGGCGAGCGCAATGGTGCATCTTGGCTTACAAATCATCGTCGGCTTTCAGATAATACGTAGAGCCGCGTCACGCGTGCCTATACGCGTTGAGTATTAAAGCCGAAAGCTGAAACAAAACTCCATTTACAGCGGGCCTTATCGGTTAAAAATATAATATATATATAACTGTAACAGTGTCAAAGACTCGTAAATCGTTATCAGTCATGCACATTCCTGTTTACAGATATACACAATTTATATGTATACAAGATATCCATTACGCGTGTGCGTGCCAAATATTATGTACATTGCATAAAAGCATCCGATCGTAATGCCTCGCTAATTACTTGGAAATTATAATGTATATCAGTGGCCATTCTCCTTATCTTGTATCCCTTTACTATTCCATTGGGCGTAAGCTACATACGTTGTTTACTCGATCTTTGCCTTTATAGAGGAACATAAGACGCTGCGCACGCCTATATACGGACTCGCTCGTCTGCCAATGATTTTTTACATGCGTTTGCTAAATCAATGCTCTTCTCGGGAAGGCCACATAATACACGTGTTCAGCGGTAGCAGCTATACGGAGCTTGGATACACTCGATAAAGTCGAGTCTTGCCCCTTTTATCTGCGCCTTATTGCCTTACGTGCAGTTGGTGATTCACAAACTCCTCCGTAATACCTCACGTGTATTATGACATTCGATGATCTAGAATTATGTACGCGTACGTTTGATCGAGCAAATACACGCGGGCGTCTTTACACGTGTGCGCGTCGATCGGCCGATATGTATGTACGTATACGCGATCGATGATTTTTACAAGCACCGACACGCGATTGTCCCGTAATTATTTGGAATACGTATACATATGTACATCGGCGCCACGGAGATAAGATTACGCGTATAAGTACGAGCTCGGCAGCGGCGAGCTGAATTATTTAATCCCCCGCAATCGGCCCAGAGGTGCTGCATGTGATACAACTGGCTTCTGACGTTGCTACTATTCTGCTCCCGCTCAGGTGCACGAGTACGCTCCAAGAGCCAAATATAGAATTCGTCGCGCTCCCAAAATTTTCTCTCTGCACTTTTTCGGTGCGATAATACATTATCTGGCTTCGCGATTCTAACGGGACGGAGCTCTCGCGGCTCGCCACCTCTCGACTCTCGAAGCTTCGGGCAACTTACGAAATTGTATGTTTATTTAATTAGTCATTCTCACAATGCTGTCATTCATGTTTGTATATTTTGAGTCAATAATAACGATAAACTCGCCTCTCGCATTCTCGCCTTTTTTTTTATCTCGTAGCTCGCGCGCATAAATATCTATATATACGCGTATACATATGCTTTTATGCTCTATATACACAATAGGTCTTTATTTTGCTGTGCGCGCGCGGCAAATGATCTAAACTACAAAGAATCGGCACGCACGCGCGCGCGGGCAAAAATACGTTTTATATAAGAAAACACGTTCGTTCGTGTACGCATAGCTGCCAAAGCGAGCCAAAGAAGCCGAAGATGCTAGTAATCTGAAAACCCTGTAATATTTAGAGCACCTGCAAAAACTCGCGACGCGAAATATCAAACTTTAGCAGTCAAGTTGCCCACGGAGAATTAAACATTTGAAAAACATTGTTGGAAAATCGATATTGAAATCCGATCGAGATTGATGAAAAATTTCAATAATATGCTCGCGATGTGTAATCGAGTTTGAAGGATAGTTGAAATATTTTCAACGCACGCAAAAAATCGATTCCGATTGAAAATTCTAAAATACAAGCGCTTCGAGGTATATAGAATATCCGCGCAAGCATGGAAAATTATTTATCCGAAAAATAGAAACGAGTAGCCTGCTTACGTAGGCTCTCTAAGTGCATAATATTATGTTGCCGGCTCGATTCTCCGAACGTCATTCGAAGAAGAAGATGTGTATGTGTGTGTGTGTGTATTTGCTGCAAGTCCGCTCGAGGCATGCGTTGCAAATTATAATAAATCTCATCTCTTATCTGACGGAGTTTCAAGGAGCCGTATCAGGCATTACAATGGAAAATAATAATTATCCAATGAGCTGAAATTGTGTCGTCAAATTTGCTCGACAAACGATATTAGGCAGTCCGGCTGCGGGCTCATGCCAGTTCGCACACACGATCGAGCGAGAAGAAGAGGAGAAAGAGCCGTAGGAAGGGAGACAGCCGGGGATAAGAAGAAAGGCTTTTTGGACAGAAAAGGGACTTGCGAGAGAGAACAGAGAACGAGAGACAACTTAATTAAAAGCACGCGCGAGATGATTATTTACCTAGAGCGAGCAGATGAGAAGGTGTGCGGCTTTGCAAGCGTTTATTTTGGAAATTGCGTCTCTGTCTTGCAGAAATACAAGGGCGAGTTCTTATGGCCGCGCGTATACATACAGTTTCGCTCGTACTCGCTATATAGCTAGCCGCTGGAGGGTCAAAGCTCCATTCGTCGTTTTAATCTGCGCCGAGCAGTGAATCTTGCGAGCGTGAAAAATTGATGACGCCCAGCCATTGTTTTCGTCCTCGCAATTATGCCAAATTGATGAATTTACTTTGCGACACATTTTCGAAAACGCGCCTAAATCTTTGACATTAATACGAAACACGAGCTCCTTTTTTTCTCAGGACCATTCGATCTATTTATTTTGCGGTATTTTGTCGGCTACTCGACCCTCGCGAGCCGCGCCGCACCTATATATGTAAATCGTCGAGCTTCCCAAGTATATTCGGTTACTGCGCCGACTTCCTACTCATTTTTTCCATATCGATTTTCGTAATTTTTCTCATTAGAAAGGATCGGCGGCTCGTTCCTCGAGACAAATTTCTTTAAAACGTTCCCACAGTACTCAAGGCATCGGCAAACAAACTTATCCGAGTCAAGAAATACAAGAAAAGGGCTCTGCAAGTGCGAGGCACAAAAAGCCTCAAATATTGATCCTCGAGTTGCACGTCGCGCTGCACGCAGCAAATGCATTTTTTCTTCTTTCTTTTTTTCTTTCTCTCTCTCTTTTTTTTTGTCGAGGAATCGCCAGCTCGAGGCTCCTGAGCCCATGTACACGCAGCTCCTCCTCGGCAGAGCTTGGCTCAACTCATTCAACCCAGCGCGTATATAATGTACGACACGTCGGCCAAATTGAATTTGGGCCGCGAGCGGTTGTTTAGATTCGGGGCCGCGGCTTGTTTAGTTTAGGAGGAACAAAGAAAACAACCCACGTGTTTATTCTAGAAAGCCGAGGTACACTGCGAGGCACAGTACTACTCGGCGCACTTGTATTACGTACATTATACGGCTCGAGTCTCGGCTGCGCGATCTCGAGTGCGAGTCGATTCCTTCGTACCTCATAGTCTGCGTCAAATTTTACATCGTTTCCAACTTTTAGTCATAAAATTATCAAGTCGGCGTGTCACTTTTCGCGCCGAGGGGCTGTACACAAAAACAGCGCCTATAAACATACGGGCGCGCATGTACGGCACGATATAAGCGTGAAAGAAAACAGGGCGCGAAGCAACAAAACTTGATTATATACATCAGCGAGAGAAAGAGAGAGAGAGAGAGAGAGAGAAGCAGTAACAAGCCGTGGTAGCAAAACACGCGCACACTTTATCACCCAACATGTTTGTCCAAAGGCCGCGCGCACAGGCGCAGCTATTTTTTCGAGCTGCCAATAAGAAAGGTTATATCGAGGGAGAGAGCAAAAAGGAGTTGGCAAAAAAAATAACATCAGCTGTGCGCGCGGCGCATTAGCGTACTTTTCTTCGTCGGAGCCTGAGCGAGTGCGCCAGTTCGCTTTAACAACACGATGGCATATTCACTAAGCGAGTGTGCAAATAATGCGACCGGCTCGACGTTAAAATAAAACGTGCCTACATGGCCCGGCTTTTATGCCACTGGCCTATACTTTACGTACTATAACCAAGCGAGAAAACAAGGGTAGCCGAGAATTTTGGGCCGTACTTTGTCGCAGCGTTTGATCCCGTAGATCTGCATGCCGAGTCGTACGTTGAATAAATCGGAAAAGCGGCCGAAATATCTCGCACGAAAAGCGAAAACCTGGAAAAAGCTCACGTGCTTCTGCTATACTTGTAGTTGGCGGGCGAAAATGATTCGCAGCAGTTAGCTAGCCGTGATCTCATCATTAAAGTGTTTGTTTGCTCGAAAATAAATACAGTAGAGAGAGTGAGCCGCACGTGTATTGCGATGCTCCTCTTTTCGCCATCTGCTGCTTTAGCTGCTCTATGTATATACAAAGGGGAAGTATAGAGCGAGGCTTCTCTCGTTATATGTATTTACGCCGCAGTGCGCGAATGCGTA